ACTGGATTTGGTTCCATTCACCACAACTCTCAAATGTAATGCGAAACACAAAAGGTACGTCAGGGGAGGGTGACTAGTCCTGAATACAGCATGTTTTCTCACTTATTCCTTGTTAGGCTTCAGAGACTCTGTGACAAAAAGACGAGTTATTTCTAAGAGAAAACTCAAACCTTTAATTCTGAATTTGCATTCCCTAAATCTATTATGTAGCGTCTTCATAGTTCTTACTCCACTAGTTTGGTAACCTATGCTCATTGGTTTTAAGTTTTCCATTGGCTTCCTGTTATTGCTTAACCCCTGTCAATCTAGCAAGAAGTTCCATATAGGAAGATTGTGCTTTAAGTGTAGCGCTAATACTGTAGTACTTTAACATAACACAGAATGTATTTAGAGTGTATTTTGGAAAGGTTTATCTATATCATTTCAGTGTTTAAAAATGTCATGGTACCTATCATATGAATCTTCCTCGCTCAGCTGAGTTAATTGTTTTGAAAGAAGATTTAGTTTGAAGAACACTGCTTTAGAATATGATCAATGCTTAGGAAGGTATAGATCATACCCATTATACCACTACTTAACGATGTCTTTAACTGTTTCACCAACTGCTACTGTTTAGGAAAGAAAATATAAAGTAACCCAGTTGTTGTGTTGTCAGTGTGCCAAACTGTCACCTACTATGTATCAAGAGTGGATGCTAAGGCAATTCACACCATTAGTGGTTTAAGGGACAATGTAAGCATTATTCTGCATGCACTGTATGAAATCATGATACATTATGATGTAAGCATCATCCAAAATCATGCTGCAATTAAATTCCAAAGGTTTTCACACCTTCTCCCCAAAGGACTAAATGATGACAGGCTAAAACTTAAGCAAGATGCAGTGAATGTTTCTAACCATTATATATATATAATAGGAGAAAGGCTAATAGTTAAAATGGAAATGTTCATGATGCAGACTACAGAACAAAGGCCTCTTGGCCTTATTAGCACATGTGGGGAGAAATGACTTAGGTAGTTGTCCTTTTGAATTTGGAAAGAAAGATTATACAAGCTTTACTTTATAAAGGGTAAAGAGATCGTTTAAACAGAATATCTTAAAAAGGCTATGTATGTAATAGGCCACAATATCTACTAAAATATTTCTGACTGTGAGATAAAGGAGGATCTATGAAATCTGCGTCCAGACTGGTTGTCATGGATCCCCATGCATCTGCTGGTGATTCAATATGAATCTGTATGGCGTTGTAGTCCTTTTGGAGGCACAGAGGAAGAACTGTGATATAAGACACATTCCCTTTTCTGTTTCCCTGAACAGAGGAATTTTTTTCATGTTTCTGTATTTTTGGGTGATGCATTCTGCTGCTGCTTCTCCACCCACTAGCAGTCTCTATTTACATTCCTTTGTAGTCTCTCTAACATTTTTTGGGGATGCCTTTTGTTTGCCAGACCACAGAGATGGGACAAAAGGACTTCATTTTTCCCTCTGTTTGTTGTCTGGGGAGTACAAAGTCTAAAAGTCACAATGATTGATTGGTTCCAGTCTAGGACTTCAAGGACATAGCTGGACTCTTCTCATATCAGCTGCCTAAGACTGCTGCAATGGTCAGCGTTCTTTATATCTAGCATTATTCATGCATTGAATCAAGCCAGAAATCAAATACATTGATTTTTAACATTGCTGTTAGCTGAATTAATTAGTCAAGTCCAAAAGCAGCACTAGGGGTGTGTTAGGTGACTGTCATGCACAATTAGTTCATTTATGGAAATCTTTTCAGAAATATTGTTTTCATGGTTGGCTTCATATAAATACAAATCATGAGTAAGGTAGAAGAGAAAAATAGCTTAACGATCTGAAATCAAGAACAGACTCACTTTTCTCAGTTAGAAAAACTGGTAATCACTAGATTATTTAAAAACACATGAACCATTTTTCAGATACATACTTTTGAATTCCCTATCCAGAAAGACAGTATCTCACATTAGAACATAAGTAAAAATAACCACGTAATATCTCTGCAGATTTTCTTCTGCCAATGACTTCTGAGTTGCCTTAAAATCATTAAGTTAGGAAAATTACCTAGCTTTAGGAGTAGTTACTATTTCAACCTCTTGTACTCAAAAACGCTGCACCAAAACCACCCCAAACCCCCGAAATAACAACAAAAAAACCCCACTCCAATACTTGTAATATAAATGGATAATTTATCTGGCAAAGTTGATAGCATTTTCTAGATTAAAAGCTGGAATAACTTGCACTATCACTAATACTGTATTGACATAAAAGATACCGGAAAAGCATTTATAAGTTTTGCAAGCAAGTTGTGCTTGAAACTGATATTTACTGAAGTTCACAATATCTAAAGTCTATTAAATGCCTATTGTAGGTTAAACAGTAGACTAGTTTGAAACATGCAATTGTTTCTTACTACCACATATGCAAAGTAAGCAATAAGCTATTTCTCTTATGTCTCTGTTACTTTAGAAAGATTGTTTTACAAAGAGTAACTGTTCTCCTGTGTTAAACTTTACTGGTTTATGGAAGAGAATATAAAATCTACTCGTTACCTGTAGCCTGAACTGCTGTTTGCAAAGTGGTGACCAGGGTCCCTTTCAGTACTGGCTACAGACGTGTTAGTTTTGTCAGGGAAGATTGACAGCGAATGTGTACTATTTATTTTTTAAGCAGAACTTTTTGAAAACCTCTAGCACAAGCAGAGGTCTGATTTCCTGAAGTGACAGATATTTTTTGTCCAGCTGTCCCCATGTATCTCAGATCTGCTCTGCAGTTCTAAACTTAGTCTACTTTTGCACTGACGATGCCACTTATTTTTAGGTTCTGCAATGTGGACAATGTCCTTTGTAAATGTGATTTTCCAAAAGACCCATGAAGCTCAGAGAGAAAGTACTTAGAAGAAAATCTAACAAAAAGCATGCTTTTAAGAAACATCTTAATTTACAGTGAGAATAAAGATTATCTCTAACCTAGTCTGGTGTAGAATCCAAACAGAAATCCAGACTGCATTTACAGCTCTGCTTTTAATATAGCCTTCTTAAATTCAAATTTAACTGCTGATCCACAGTTGTGCAACACAGCTGGGGTTTGCGAAGGGAGCGCATGTGGGGTCGTTTAGAGCTGCATGTGACTGAGAAGGAGCCTAGGGGTAGCTGGAGTGGGTGTAGTTCCAAATCCAAAATGGAAGGTAGGGCTGTGGACAGGCAGAAGACCCAAACTCTGCAGCATCACCTGTGTTTTCTAGCCCTCTGAACATCCAGTGTGGGCTTCAGAGGAGCCTGCTGTGGTGTCTGGCAGGGAACAGGGGAGCACACTTCAGGCCCAGTGCTGTCTTTTTAAGGAAGTCTGTGCTCAGTTGTAGAACTCTTTGGAAGAAAGACATAGCCTAGGGCTGTGTCATTACAGAATTCAAATGAAAAATAAACCTTTTAAGAATGGAGGAAATCCTTTCTTATAAGCCATGCTTATAACTGTAGTAAAGCAATTATTTTATTTACCTGCTAGTATGTGAAGGAAAAAGGAACAACCTTTTTTGTGTGTTCCTGCTGCATAATTTATAGCTGATGCTTTTCCTAAAATACTTGAAGCACCCTGATACCAGAATAGGCACTTTAAAATCTACTTACGATCCACAAATGAAGTAAACAGCATCCTGAATCTGCTTAGCCTACTGCCTTCATCTGCCCACATTCGTACCACGCCTGTCCCAGTCTGCAGCATGACATCGTTTGCCACCGTGCTGCAAAACTTGGCCTTCAGGTTTTCAATAGAACTGCTTCCATCATACACAGCAACAAAGTTTCTTTTGCATTCATTTGAATGCTCCATTTGATAGTCGAGAAATCGCAAATAAATCTGTTAGAAAAGAGAAATTAATGTCTCTAGGAAAAGTAATACAGAGAATATTTTCTTCCTTAGCAAATCCCGAATAAGATGTTTGTCCCTTTACACATGTATGTAACTCCCAATTCGCAATGCTTTTAATTTTCTCATTAAATGTCAGTGTGGAGTATTACTTGAAATTTGTCTGAAGTATCTGGTTCACTTCTCCCCTCTTCCCAAAACTATATTTACTTAATAATTTACTCTTATATGTTTCTTCTCCCGTTGGAAAAAAGTAAAAAGTAACACCATAGCTGAAGAAAGCCCTAAGTGGCTCAGCTGAATGTGCAGTCTATTACTCCAGAAGAGATACAAGAAACACAGACATGTTTTGAAAGAATTTTAATGGTATTTTGACTGTTCTCTTTTTAATTCATAAAAACTATGTTAAGATATAAGGGAAGAAGTCTATTCAGAATAGCTCTGAAGTAAAATAAGGACATTAAAATTTGTTGCTTCAGAATGAAAGCTAATTATTGAACCAGAGCGGTATTACAGAAGACAGAAACCATAAAGCTAGGAGTAATTTGAATAAAAATGGAAGCAGGAGAAAAGTAAGCTTGTTGTCTAGGAACACTTAATAAATCTAAGCCAATCTTAATTCCTCCAAAAACAGAATTCTAATCCAAGAGAAGGCAGTGTATGTGGTAGAACATATGCAGCAAGGAAATTAGAAGACCAAGATGGCACTTGAAGAGTAAGTAAAGAACTTATTTTGCTAGAGCAGGAAACTTGTGCAAGACTGTGATTCAGTTAGAATTACATGAAGGGATCATAGGGCTTTTTACTCTCCTGAATTGTTCTCTTGGAATGCTGAAAAAGTTGTTAAGATACGTAGCTAAGCCACTAAGCATGCTGAAAAGTCCATTTTTAAACTTTAAAAATTCCTCCGATAGCCATTATTTTGACAGAGAAGACATCTATCCATGTGGAGGCTGAGGTCTCCTGCTCTGTGGGGGAAAAGGTGCTCCCCTGCATGCGGTCTGCAGCACGTTCCTCAGGTAAGCTTGGGTCTAGGCTGTACGCATTTTGAGTATAGTTTACAGTTACCTCTCTGGCTGATACCATGCTAATGGCCTTCTGCACAGAGCGTTTTTTCTCATGCATCTGCCTCCTGACAAGAATCTCAAGCTGTGGTTTGTTTGTGAAGCAGGGAAGACAGGGGAGATGAATACCGTGCTTCCTACTGCTATATCACCTATTTTTCTGCCCTCTTGCCATGTCTCACTTTTAACCTCAGCTAGTGCCAAAGCCTTTTAAAGCTGGATTTTAAAGAATTCCCTAAAACAAAACCAACCACCTTGGCGTGGGGAAAAAAATATATCCTCTCCCCCCATGCGTACAGTTCAGAGGCTTTACTGAAACCACAGCTAAGAGTGCACGGTAAATGCCAGGTGACACTGCTTGCCATGGTGACATTGTCACCCACCCTGTCCCTCCCCCGGTGACACTGTCCACCCTGGTGACACTGTCCGCCCAGCGCTGCCCAGGGACTGGCTGCCAGCACTGTTTCTCCTTGCACCTTCTGTGATAAGGTGTAGCCTGGGCCGTATTATCTCATGCTGCATCTCATTGTTGTGTGATTTTCAGTAGACATATTTTCTCTCTCTTTTTTTTTTTCCCCTGCTGTCTTTGTTAAATTTACTGCTGGAAATTGTCAGCTACACTGAGAACCTGTCTTCCATTGATGTCTCATGTCACAAACACGGGTGTGAGCTCTAAGTGCTAGTATCTGGGCTGAGAGATGGTATTTTCATTTAATGATTGGCACTATATTGCTGCTGTGAAATTACAATGGAAACTTAAACTAAATTACCACACTTTGAGTAGAGCTGTTCTGTATATGAAAACAAAGGAATAATTCCATTAAAAGAGCTCAGCTCTGCAAAAGCTCCTTCAGATTAGTGTGTTAGGCAAGTAAATATAAAAGGTCCTCACCCTTATTATATTGATTATTCTACAAATTTTCTGAAATCTGGAGGTAATCTATTAAATACCTGTTATGCAGATATAAAAATCCTTTCACTGCTGCATTTGTGCCAGTTTTTAATTTTTTTTTTGTTACAGAATCAAATTGAGGAAATTAAAAATGTCTATACTTATTTTTCTCAAGAGACTGCACCATATTGGATCTAACGGATTTCATCTTCATAATTCTTCCAGAATCGAAGCTTGAGAAACCACTGTCAAAATACTAAGAATTATTTTTCTGTAATGTTTTAATTCAGTAATTTAGGATGATGATCTAATCTCAAGACTGACCCAACTATAACTCTGCCTTCTGGTAACATTCAATAATTTATTAAAATACTTAAGCGTAAGCCCTGGTGCACTCAAGTGGCAATGTAGAGAGAAAATGGCTTTATTATTGTTTCTGGAAGAACTGCTGCTATTACTTAGACTGGTATAGGGCTCTTGGGACTTGAGTCACTTCCTCAAAGGCTCAAATATATTAATGGAGTTTTAGTTTCTTTCTTGTCGTGTCCTTATTATCATCCTTTAGGTTGCTGTTTTAGAACTAATTTGGAAGCTGGTGAATAGGGCTGGTTAGTTAACTATTAGGAATGTGTAAGAAGGCATGGAGCAGGTTTGTCACCTTGGCACCTACTGCTTGAAAATATTTCTTATATTTTATGTACATTTATGTACATGCAAGCAGTGCTATGTGCTTTAATACAAATACAGAAGCAAAATTACAGATATGTATGCTATATGGAGAAAAAAATACGTATTATTTCAGTGCAACTCACCAGAAATTAACAAGTATATGATTCTGAAACACATAGCTGTTGGGTTGGGTTTTTTTGGCACTTTGTTGTTTTTTTTTTAAACAGCCTATAGCTATTGTATTTTGGAATTATGGATAGGTTTTTATCCTTTTCTCTGCCCAACAATAAAGCTCAAGTTGTTTTTAATTAGCATAAGACAGCGATGTTTTTGTAAGCAGTCTCTAGTTCTGCAGACACAATCATAAATATCAGGTATGTAGGTAACCAATGCTGATTTTTGGCTCGAGCAGCCAATATGCCCCTTTAGAGCTTGAGCAGAAAAACTCTAGCAAATTTTATTGTCGCACTTTAGAGGGTGTGATCCTACAGCTAAGTCTGAAGAGGAAGAGTGGTAATTCCTCAGCTGTTTCCAGGTAAAGCCCTTCATTGTAGCTCACGCTGCTCAAAGTGGGTCCTAATGTACTCAACTGTGAATCAGACTGGGGAGGAGCAGGTACGTGTTCTGCTGACTTTGACCAGAACCAAATTCTCCAACAGAACCACTGCAGGCAAAATTTTAAACCACGGCAGCAAGATTTACTGGAATTTACCAAAGCTGTTAGCAAGCATTTTTGCCTGTGGTCTTCCAGGAAAAACAGAGTCCAAGTCAAACGCCCTTGAAAATTGTTGCTTGAACAGTTTTTACCATTGTTTTGTATTTTAAGTTTCAAATAATAGGAAGACATCACTGTGGACTTGCTGTATACGTTTAATTTCAGGAACACTCCTATATCTGGATTTCCTAAGCCATTGATATCTAATTCATTTCAGTGAGTGAGACATTAGGCAAATCACAGCTAGTGACTATTACCTGTAACTAATGACTTGGAAACCCATTATATGCTGAATGATAGGACTTAAACCCACCTTAGCATTTGGAGTAGCTTTAATTGTCCATATGCAGTCAACTGCTTGTCCTGGTTTTGTTTTTCCTTCTTGTTCTACTTGACTGGAACGTACTATTCCATCAGCTCCCGAGAGCTCAAACTGGCAGTCTAGGGAGAACAAAAACTTTGCTGTCAAATGCAGTATGATATTAATTTAAAATTTCATGTATAAAGAAATTGCTACTGTAATACTAGACCTGGGATGGGATTTAAAATACCTCCTAGGTAAGTGAAGTCAGGATCTGTAACAGAAAGAAGTCATGAATCACAGGGGTTATCAATGCTTGAGAGTCACTTCAAGGTTCAGCATAATCTGAAGATTATGTCCACTTTTTTATTAAGTCACAATAAGAATTGCCAGAAAGTTTCCTGAATCAATTGTGAGGTACAGAAACAATTTTTTAGAGATGTTAACATTATTCCACAAAGATTGTAATAAGTAATTCTATACTTACAGTTCAGATTTCCAATGTAACACCAGAAATTACAATTCACTATTTTGTTCTGACATTACATTCTGAATTTAATTATGCCACTTTTCACTGGAGCTCCACAAGATTACAGGGCATCTTTCTGTGTGCATCATTTTTATCAGATTGCTGTCTGTCTAGTTCTGAACAATCCGAAGTTTAGTCGGACATATCAACACTTTGAAATTACTAACTGCTATTAATAAAGAAGAACAGCTCAATATTAAAGGTACCTTTTCTTGACTACCCATGCTTTTTCTACTAGGCCAGGTGGCACAGTTCTAGGCACTGTTTATGAAGGCAGAATTTCACTTTCTGCCACTCCTCTATCTTCTCTCTTCTAAAGGTAGTGCATGTATCTGTAGTATATAATGCAGTAGCATTAGTGTGTTCAGAATACACTTTTTCATAATGGTTAACTGATGGTACTTGACTTTACTGGGACTAGGGCTTGGCTAAAGATGAGTCTGTAATGGCTGGGATATCCACGGCTTACATTTCAGTGATCAGTTTAGTGTTTCCTCAATCACCACAGAAACTTGCAGGATGCACCCATTTACACCTGTGGCATAGAAATTCATCACAGAAATCACGCCAGTCAGTCTGTGCATGTGTGAAATGTTAGCCTTTGCAAAGATAGCATTAGTGTTTTCTACAAAAAAAAAGCAAAAGTGCATGCCTGTTTTGTACAAAATTCTTTTCAATTGAAGTTCCAGAACTTGGCTCTTTCTGTAGTCCTCTAAATGTTTTACTGTTAGGGAGTTTATCCCCTGTAACGCTTCAGTCCTGAGCTTCAGGCTCCGTATAGCTGAGAAAACACAGCTTTTGCCCTCCTCTGTTCTAGTTACCTGTAGTGATATCTATGATCACTATATGTAAAATTCTGCAAGAGACTTTCAACCTTCTTTGTGAACTCATTTTTTTTAATGAAGTGGGGGTGTATATGCATTTCCCCAATTCCCAAATATTTTACTACACTCTATGTATGCGTAGAGGAAAGAAAAGTAACAGATCTTCCATTGCTGCAATCTATTGTGAAAATAATATACCATTTAAATGTATATTTAAAGTTCCAGCCTGGAACTAGTCTAAGTTAGTTTTGAAAGTGATGTTAATGAAATGGTTTTGGAAATGGACTTAGTAAAATGCATAAGTACTGCCCCTATGAAAACATTTTACCATGTATTCCCAGGGGACTGGTCACCATGTTAATCTGAACAGTTTCTAAGTTTAAATCCCTACCAAGGTGTACAATTCTATAACCATGTATAATGTTCTCACGTGCTGTAGCAGTAAAGACGACATCAAAAAGTTATGCCTGTGTATACATTTATAGTGGCAGTACAGCTGACATTTGTGTACTGTCTTGTCCCAAAGGACAATAAACTGCTGATAACGACAGGTATAGCACCTATGAAGTACAGCAGTCAAGCACTGCACAAGGACATCAGGTCAAATTTTCCTGTAAAAAGAATGCTCTGCCAGTTTTAAGTGGCCCCACAGAGCACATGTACTTCTTGTCTGTTTAAAGGCACTGTCAGCATATTATCCTCTCCTTCATATCCTGTACTGCACTGTACTTGGAGCAAAGAACAACTCTGGTGTTTGAGCCTGTGGTTTGAGGGATTCGTTACAGTGAGAGCTGATGCTTGGACTGTATAGACAGTTCCTCTGCCTTTTCAGAATGGAGATTGAAAATGTTTTGCATCTGGCTGGAAGTGCTATTGTAGATTTGCTTCAGGTGTTCTTGTTATAGTGTATTATAATTTCTAGAAGATAGGCTGTTGAGAATGTCACCTCTCTGCCTGTGTAAGTGCTCATTCCATTACTACTGCTGGTGAAACTGGTAAAAGTTGAAGTCACAAAGAGGGATGTTGGTGAAGCTACCAGCATGAGCAAGATCAAACGGCTTCTTCACTGGCAAACTCTAGACCTGTAATTCCCTTCAGTCAGTTTTCCAAATGGTTTTAGACAAGTCTGTTGTAGGATCAGCAGGACTGGGACTGTAACTACTGCACTGTCACTTTGCCTTCATAAGCAGAAATCTCACTCAAGACTGCCAGCCCAAACTCAACCAGGGAGCTCAATGGGAGCAGGTGGTCATTAACTCAGTCAGAATTTTAGGTATCTTTACCTGGTATAAATGAGTACTTTGCTTGAAATCCCTTTCCTTCCAGCTCCTCATCAGAAGTAAACTTGATCCACATAAATCTCCCTGTTGATCTAATTAGTGCAGGACTTTTCAGACCACAGTAACGATTAATGAGAGGGGAGAAACCAAAAGGTCCATCTCGAACCTCCAGATGATCAAACCGACATTCAAATGAGGGTTCTATGTAATAAGGTTCATCAAAGGTCAACTCAATTCTTTGTCGTGGAGCAGCTAGACATAAAAAAACAAGCAAAAGATTAAATGAAGATCTGTATAAAAAACACATGAAGACACGAAATAATGAAGAGACAGGCCTCCAAAACAGTAAGATAAAAAAGAGACTGGAAACTTCTCAAAATACTACTGGCAGGCTGCTACAAAAACTCAGATGCACTGCAATAATTTTTTTTAATTATTGCATAGAAGATATTTTCTCATGGAATTTTATAGAATTATTTTGCTTGTTCTTTATTTTTGAACATTCAGAAATGATAAAAATTTAATGCAGCACATGTAACAGATATTAACATATACGCAAAGGTATTCAGGCAAGTTTTAGTATTAAGATAAAAATTAAAACCAGTGTTCTGTGAAAGCAAAGTACATAAAAAAAGACAAAACACTGAGGGATGCAGAAAAGAATAGAAAAATAATAGAAAAAAAAAGAAAAAAAAGATAAGAAGAACTAATCCTTGGTGTATTTCCTAAACATTAAGGCAAAATTTGCAGATCCTTTGGCAGGAGACATCTTTTATTAAGATACTCAGAAGAGTGTAAATGCTTCATCTATATTATTAATACGCAGGTGACTGCAGAGGTTGGTAAGTCTGAACCAGTGACAACCCAACATCAGGATTTGGATCAGACCCTGAAATCCTGACAAGACACAGCTACTTTGTGACTGGGCTTTCACATCTGTAGTTTGGAACCGTGGCTTTATATGTACAAATTGCTGTAGTGTTTCTTGTTCTTGTCATCTACTGAGCTACATGACCTTTCAGATTCTAGTTGCTATCTGGAATGAGAGCATGAAAGAATCACATGCTGTCTGCTGCTTCTGAATGCAAAAAGGATTTTACTTATACGTCTTGAACACTCTGTTTAGAGCTTATGCCTTACTTATGAGCTAAAAGACTCTCGTAGCTCTTTGCATATACTGGCAGTGGTCTGCAGAAGGACCATATCTCAGCTAGAAGCTGTGGAGGGCCTTCGTCTCACTCGGGTACCCACAATTTTGCTGTACAAGGATGGTGAGGACAGAGGCGTGGAAATCAATCCTGTGCCCCATGGAAACTGCCCTGAGCAAGGGAGATAGAGCAATGGACCCAGTCTGAGCTAGACGGGGTATCTGCTCTCCAGTGCCTTCCCTGGCAGGGAAGATGTGCAAGTATACAAGCATAAGCAGGGTACCTGTGAACCAGTACTGTACTGTACGAATAAAAACTCGCTGAAACACAGCACTTGAAATATTTCAATTAATTTATATGAATCTGATGATTAAGCTAACATTTTTGGCTGACTTCAGTGGGTTTTGGGTTCATTCTAATAAGAGTAAAAAATAATTAGCATGTCCCAAGTCTTGCAGCCTTTATCCAAGGTATTTTCATTGGAATGTGGCTTTACTCTTGTTAATGACATTTTTTGTCTTCATCACATAACTTTAAAAGTGACCTCAGCACTGCTAACAAATCTCCATATTTTTAGTACAGTGTTATGGCAGTCAGATGTGTATTTTTTTAAAATAAAGGACAGCATAAAGCTTTTCTGCTTGTGACACAGACAGAATATAGTCTTCAACCATCTCTTGCAGTTTATAATCAGCAATATTGGAAATTATATTAAGATAACAAGCTACAATCTTTATCTTAATAGTTCTGTGCCTTCATAGATTTCAGTAGATCTGGTGCTGATTTTTCTGGTTGTGAGGGTTCATCTTATTCCTTATAGTTAGTTCCTGAATGTTTGCATTTTCTAATAATTTGTTATTACTACTTCAGAGAGCAAATTTAGCTTCTTGTTCAACCAAATGACTGCAGAATTCATTGTATTACCAGTATGGCTATACAATACTTGACAGTATAGTAAAATGACAGAGTTTTAACAGTTCAAAATGATCCATTTATCAGTAAGATTACAACACAAAAGAGAAATACGGCACGTACCTTCTAAGATATAGATGCACTCTTGATTTGGTGGGTACATGTTAGGGTAGTTTGGTGAAGCAAAATGTCCTCCATTGCTTGTCCGTACCCAGTTGTCACACTGGGTAGGAGGAATGCGATTCACTCCAATATTTTGCCCACCTTAAGTGAAAAAAAAGTTATCACATAAACTTCTCCTGCAGCAAACTTGATTTTGCAAAAGTAAAACACTGACATAACGCATATTTGATAAAAGAAGAAAGTAATTAATTTAGGTTCAAGATCCTCTTATATGCCACTTGTTAATATCTAGCTAGGAACATCTTATGTTTAATTTAGTGATGTGGTATATCCTAAAGAGATCACAGTTTTTTAATATCAAATATGTCCAGTAATCCTTGGGAAGGGAAGAGAGGGAATATTTTTTTTTATCCAATTCAGTTTAGATTTTTTGATTTTCTTTTTTCTAAGTCAAATAGTCACAGCAGCATTATTTTATGGCTTATGTATTCTCCATTCCTACACAAACATAATCCAAGATATTTGTTAGCTTTTACTATTTTTGGCCCTGATTCCAGAGTATACTGAACTACATGGCCCACAGATTGAATGTCTATTTAAAATAATTTGTTGGGATACAGAATGCTTATAATAGAATGAATTATAATATGTAAATACACTAGATACAGCAATGGTAGTTATAAAATTACTAGCAATAGGTAGATTGCACCTAAGGGTCTCATTTAAGATCAAAGGCTGTATTCTGGGTGTACAGGGCAGTATGATCCTTGACAGAGATGATGCAGTTCTCTAAGGTAGGACTCCACGCTCCACCACTTCAGGAGCTTTGTCAGTTCCCATTTCCTTATCCAAGGAGAAAGGAGGTGGGAACAGTTCGATCCCTCTGACATCCTTGTTAAGCACCTTTGAGCCTTCTCCTTGGTATCAGCAGAATTGGAGAGAATAAGACACGGGATATGTGGTTTCTGCCAGATTTTTTCTAAACCTCACGGAATGCTCTCATAACATCTTTTATATTTATGCAGTTTTTCTTGGGAGACCTTTGAGAGGAAGTCCATGTTGATACAGGTCTTAGCTGCCTCCAGTAAATTTCATCACCTTCTACTGGTATCTTGGCAGCTTTTTGATTTATGGGGGTGAAAACTTAGTCTCTCCTGCAGAAATTGTTCAAGGGAATTCTGTAGGTGTCAGTTCAAGGAATTCTTCTCTCCTATGTGTGGGTTAATCCCACATATGAGAAAATAAGGTTTGTGAAACTGATGCCTTCCCCACTAAGGAGGCTTCAAAAACTGTTTTTGTGGGTGGACTATTTGAAAAACTTGTTGTCAGATACAGAAAACATGAATTTCCAGGGTGGGTTTTTTCCACCTCTAAGGTCTAAAACGATCGAATTTTAACTGGGTAAGTCAACGCCCATGTTCTTTGTGACTGGATGGCTTTTTCAGTAGTGAAAAAATTCAGTAAATAGGGGGGAAAATGGAAAATACTGGAATTCATACAGATTCAAGAGCTGTTAAGACCTGAATGCAAACACTTTCTTTCACTTATATTGCTTAATTAAGAATAATAAAACTTTTACATTTTTCGAAAGAAAATAATCAAACCAAAACTTTACCTTGTGTCTTCTGTGCAATGGCAATCCCCTCCACTACAAGGATTGTTACTAGCAACACTGAAGAGAGAAATTGGACAGGAAAAACATCAGTAATTCATCAGAACTATTGACCATTTTTTGCAGTCCAAATTCGTGCAAATCCTAGAGTCACTAACCAAAACAAATCGGAACATACAAAAATATGTAATTCATTTATGTGCTTTCTTAAAATTTCCACTTCAGAGAACCAGTGCAGTGCAAGTGCCCTGTCAGGTCTTCTTCCAGGTTCCTTAAGAAAGTGTACATGAGAATAGGAATTTATTGTTTGAAGGGATTTTAACAATATTTTCTAGACTAACTACTAATTTGCAAGCATTTTATAAAACTAAATGGTATCTAACTTATACATAGCTTTTATCTCTGAAATGAGATGTTTCGCTGCTATATTGAACCATTTTTATCCTAAAACTCCATATGCTTAATATATACAAAAGACTTCTCCAGCTTCCAAGAAATTAATCAGGACTACGGGAAACACTGCATGGTCTTATCCCTACACAGATTTCAGGAGCACTCTCGAACTGTGCTGGCAAGACTGGCTGGTGTGATGCTCCCACAATACCAGTGATTGCTGCCAACGATGTGACAGCAGAAAAGGAGTGGAAACAAGTTCTAATGATGGAGAGACTTACAGAAGCAGTGAGAAGAGCTGGAATGTGGACACTGTTAGGATGTAACCGTAACTGCTGCAGGTACTCCAGTTTGCTCAATTGTTGTGTTAGTCTTAGATGTTGGTACATGCTGGCATTTTCTACATCTGAATTGACTACATATTGCACCTGTTGAGGATTTTGTTATACTGCTTCCCCCAACCTCCCTTCCCTTCCCTTCCCTTCCGTTCCCTTCCCTTCCCTTCCCTCCTTTCCGTCTGTCCTTCCATCCATCCTTCCTCTGTTCCTCCCTCCCTCCCTCCTCTAAAAAGAAGCTGTCTGGATGGTTTTGCTTTTGGCCTTTCCCTTATCCTTACACTTTTGTTGCACCCAAGAAGTGTCAGTCTAAGCAGAACATAATAAAGACTCCATAGTCCACTATTCATCAACAGTTCTAAAGCAGGCTTAGTGTCCACATTTTCCTAAAATGCTTTGTCTCCTCAGACTGTTAGGGATTACCAGGAAGGGAAAAGAGAATGACATAGAGTATTTAACTATGCCACTCTTCAAATCTTTAATTTGCTTCTGTCCTGAGTACCTCTACACCTCTGGACACTTTACCCTGGACAGAAACTGGCTGAGGGGGGACAGGATATAAGTTATAAAATCTCAAGTGTCACTGAGATGGTGAACAGAGAGCAACTACTGGTTGTCTCTTCCAATACAAGAACCAGAGGTATCAGACAAAGCTGGCAGGTGGCATGTTCAAAGTAAATGATTTATTTATTTATTTTTATGCACATACTTCATAATGCATCCTTAAGGTAGTAAAATCTGTTTTGAGAAACCCCTTAAGCCATAAGTTGTTGGAAGTGTCTGGATTAATATTTGGAGCAAATATAATTTGCTCCACTTTTATAATCTTTCTGAAACCTCTGCTTTTGTATCTCTGTGAAAGAAGATACCAGGACAGATGGACCTTTGATTTGACCTGGTGTGGCCTTCCCCATGTTCTTAACCTACTTGTTAATACTAAGTCAGACAGGCATGGCCTCACCACTGCAGG